CAAAAAAAATCTGTGCTGAGTATTTAGGTAAGATAGGAACTATTTTTAGGATAGGAGATCTACAGACATACCTCAGCTTATTGTAATTTGAAGATATTGCGTTCTTCACAAACTGAAAATTTGTGGCAACACTGCATAAAGCAAGTTTATTGGTGCCATTTTTCCAACAGCATTTGCTCATTTTCTGTCTTCGTGTTCCTTTTTTGGTAATTCTCACAATATTTCAAACTTTTTCATTCATATTATATTTGTTATAGTGATCTGTGATCAGTGGTCTTTGATGTTACTTTTATGACTTGCTGAGGGCTCGGATGATGGTTAGCATTTTTTAGCAATGAAGTGTTTCTTAACTAGGTATGTACATTTTTTTAGACATAATGCTATTACACACTTAGTAGACTACAGTATAGCGTAAACATTAACTTTTATATGCACTGGGAAAAGCCAAAAGAATTTGTGTGACTCACTTTATATTTGCTTCATTGCAATGGTCTGGAACCAAACCTGCGCTATCTCTGAGGTCTGCCTGTAAATCACTAACACTTGTGTTGTACTTTATAAAGTAGTTCACATGTTATGAATTGTGACCTTTACAAGAAACTTGTTAAGTATAAATTATTTATTTTTATTTTACATCTGAGGATAATGAAACTCATAAAAATGACTGTAACAGGATTGCTCAGCAAATCTGAGGGGAAGCCAGTATTTGGTCCAAGAATTCCATCTCTGAGGTTTTCCCCTTTCCACCAAACCAAGCTAGAATGCCAAGTTCTTGGATAATAATATACACCTTGGGCTTCCCTGGTGGCGCAGTGGTTGAGAGTCCGCCTGCCGATGCAGGGGACGCGGGTTCATGCCCTAGTCCGGGAAGATCCCACATGCCGTGGAGCGGCTGGGCCCGTGAGCCATGGCCACTGAGCCTGTGCGTCCGGAGCCTGTACTCCGCAACGGGAGAGGCCACAACAGTGAGAGGCCCACGTACAGCAATAAAATAATAATAATAATAATAAAAAAATAATATACACCTTGGAAGTCACATGGTCTGAATAACACTCTGGGTTGGACTAAACCCAGCAGTGGCTGGCCAAAGCTCTGAACTTCCACTGGCCGCTGGTCTTCCATTCTCATCTTCATCTTCTATCCTGGTCTTAACTTGTCTTCCAGATTTTTATTTGCCACTTCAGGTGCAAATGTCCTCTTTGTACAATGAGGATTCTGATGGAAGGGACTAGGTGATTATCCATGTTTGTACTCTTCATAATAGCTCACCCTTAAGCAGCCCTGAACAAATAACTATTTAAATGAATTAAGTCATTATTTCATGGGAAAAAAGTTTCTTGAACACTCACTTTGGGACTTGCTTAGTGCTAGATAAGTAAGCAGGACAGAGAGTCTCCACCATCATGGAGTTCATGGACAGATGTTGAACAACTGACAATAATAGTGAGGAGGGCTCAGGGAAGAGTTGTTTCCTATGAAAGGGAGAACACAGGAAGCTAACCTAGTGTGGGGCAAAAGGAAGACTGCCCTGAAGAAGAGACATTTAATCTGCCACTTAAGGTTGAAGGGGAGGGAGACAGATGAAAAGGAAAATGCAGTCTCGGCAGAGACCACCAGCACTAAGATGGGAAAGTGCATCCCCTAAAGCATGTCTTAAATCCTGCATCTTACTGAACCATCTTGGCTCAGGACCAAATCTAATAATGATGTTGGGATTTTCAGGGTACAGCAGGCATCATAAGAGATTAAATTTCTTCATGTAGATAAATCATGCACTGTTTTGGATCTTTAGGGTACTTTAATAAATGCATTCTGCCTTGCTATAAAAGTAGGAGGGGGCTTCCCTGGTGGCGCAGTGGTTGAGAGTCCTCCTGCCGATGCAGGGCACGCGGGTTCGTGCCCTGGTCTGGGAAGAGCCCACATGCCGCGGAGCGGCTGGGCCCGTGAGCCATGGCCGCTGAGCCTGCACGTCCGGAGCCTGTGCTCCGCAACGGGAGACACCACAACAGTGAGAGGCCC